TGTGAAAACATTTTTAACTCTTGGGAATACTTAGTTCCCATATAATCTTTGAAGAATGAACTATACTCTTACTCTTAACTGAAAACTAGCTCAAACTTTACTCTTTTCTTAACTTGAACTTTAAGTCTTAAAACAAAGTTAAAACGTTTGTGAAAGACTTTTGAAAACTTTAAAAACTTCTCTTGATTTGCTCTTTAATTTCTAGACTTGACTCTTAACTTTTCTTGAATTGAAGTATGGATTCAAGGTTCATGATCTCATGTTTATGGATTATTTCATGATGTTTAGACGTACCTTATAGTGTTAAAATCAACTAGAAAACATAGGTACATCACTAAGGAACTAGTATGAAAAGATAGGGGAGGAATGGGGAGAACTGGCATCCTTGGCGCTCTGAGAAGCGCGCGGCGCCAGCCCTCAAAATTCAGAGGGCAAGTTGGGGGGCTCTGGCTGGCGAGTCACCCCAGAGCCCCACATTCAGAGACTGCTTTGGGGTGCGCTGGCTGGCGCGACGCCCCACCCCCTTTCCTAGGTGTTTGACGACTTTTCTTCTTCGTTTTTCAACTCTAAACTTCAATGGTTCTTTCCCCAAATGCTTAGAATCATTTTTACCCTAAATATATGATAGATTCAAACCGAAATTATGCCCAGAAACATGAATCAAATCGCAAGAAATTTCAACAACACAACCCACGAGAATTCAACGAAACCTTCAACAATGTTCATCAAGAACTCAATTTCTAAACTTTCAAAGACTTAAATTCGCTGAATTAAATCATGTTTGGCGCGTGGGCGAACTAACCCAACAATATGTGATCTCACATACCTTGTAGGGATCACCCCCGATGAAATCCACAAGCTAAACTCGACGATCTTGACGAATCTTGCTTCCTCTTCTCCTTTCTCCTCTTTTCTCCTTTCTCCAAACCCTAGCATGAAATTCACTTTTCTAAAACTGACTAAAATCTGAATTCACCCCAATTAAATTACCCTTCCAAAATCCGGATTAGTCTTTCCTTAATCCAATAGCCCAACTTCCAAAGGGCATAACTTACTCATACAAACTCAGAATCGTGCAAACTTGGTGGCGTTGGAAAGATCATTCCAAGATCTTTCCAACCATATCTGGAAGTACACGTAACTCATATTGATCTAGGAGTTAGGACCATTTGAAGTTGACTAAAACTCAACTTTTCCTAACTTAAACTAATTTCCATATTTTCTTTCTTTTCAAAAATGACTATATCCAATTATTAGCTTCTTCCTAGTTATTTCAAATTGCGAGATGTTACAATATCTCCCCCTTGGGAACATTCATCCTCAAATGAGATTACTTTTACTAGGCTAAGGGTGGTAACATCAAGTTCAAACACTCATCAAGCAAATGCAAACAAACAACATGCTCACTCATAATTTAAAGAGTACTAAGAAGAGAATTAGTACCTTGGTCTGCATTTTCTCCGGACTCAAAGAGATGTGGATATATCTTCTTCATATCCTCTTCAACTTCCCAAGTAGCTTCTTCAACAAATTGGTTCCTCCAAAGGACTTTGACTGATGCTACCTCTTTTGTTCTCAACTTGCGAACTTGGCGAGCTAGAATCTGAACAGGAATCTCTTTATAAGATAAGCTATCCTTGATCCCAATATCTTCAGTTGGTATAATCGATGAAGGATCGCCCATGCATTTCTTCAACATGGAGACATGAAATACCGGATGAACCGCTGCTAACTCCTGTGGTAGCTCCAATTCATAAGCTACTTTGCCAATCATCTTAGAAATTATGTAAGGGCCAACATACCGGGGACTAAGTTCCTCCTTCTTACCAAACCTCATAACTCCCTTCATGGGTGAAACCTTTTAAATACACCCAATCATCAACTTCAAACTTTAACTCTCTTCTCCTAACATCAGTGTAGGATTTCTGACGACTCTGCGCCGTTTTCAACCTCTCTTGAATCACTTTCACCTTCTCCATAGCTTGATGAACTAAATCTGGTCCTATCAACCCAGCTTCACCAACGTCAAACCATCCAATAGGAAATCTGCATCTTCTCCCATAAAGAACTATTGTTGTAGCAAACTCAATAAGAGATAAGTGATCATCCCAATTACCCTTGAAATCAATCACACAATCTACCTTGATACCTCAAAACACCATTTCCCCCTTGTTCAAAAGCCATCACTTTTTGCTTATGAACATTTGCCTTTAATTCAAGCAATAAAGGATCTTGGTCTTGCTTTCCTTTTACTTCTGACACTAATGATGATTCAGTCCCATTCATTACCACCACTCCTCCTTCTGTGGAATCCATTAGTCGAACTCCTAGACGTGCAAGTCTATGCACTTCTTGTGCTAACTCTTTCTTATCTTCCTCAAAATGGGAGGTACTACCGATAGACAACCTTCTCAAGGAATCAGCAACAACATTAGCCTTACCTGGGTGGTAAAGAATACTCATGTCGTAATCCTTAAGTAATTCTAACCACCTTATTTGTCAGAGATTAAGATCTTTCTGAGTAAATACATACTGAAGACTCTTGTGATCGGTGAATACATCAACATGCACACTATACAAATAATGACGCCATATTTTCAAAGCAAATACTACCACAACTAACTCTAAGTCATGGGTTGGGTAGTTCTTCTCATGAACTTTCAACTGTCTGGAGGTAAAAGCTATAACATTGTCATTCTGCATTAACACACAACCCAAACCAACTCTAGACGCATCACAATAGACCACAAATCCTTGCGTACCTTCTGGTAAGGTCAACACTGGGGCAGTAGTCAACCTCTTTTTCAATTCCTGAACATAAGCTTCAGACCATTGAAATTTCACTGTTTTCTGAGTCAACTTGGTCACAGGAGATGAAACAGATGAGAACCCATCTACGAACCTTCTATAATAGCCAGCCAAACCCAAGAAACTCCTAATATCAATTGGAGATATGGGTCCAGGCCAATTTTGTACTGCCTCAATTTTCTGAGTATCAACTTTAATTCCTTCTCCAGACACAATGTGACCTAAGAATGCCATAGACTCAAGCCAAAACTCACATTTAGAGAACTTAGCATATAACTCCTTATCTTTCAAAGTTTGAAGAACTATTCTGAGGTGAATAGCATGTCTTCATTCCTTGAATAGATTAGTATGTCATCAATGAAGACGATAACAAACATATCTAAATAAGGTTTGAAAACTTTATTCATAAGGTCCATGAATGATGCAGGCACATAGGTCAAACCAAAGGACATGACCAAAAACTCATAGTGACCATAACGGGTCCTGAATGCTGTCTTTGGAATGTCACATTCCCTTACACTTAACTGGTGGTAGCCAGATTTGAGGTCTATCTTAGAAAAACAAAAAGCACCCTGAAGTTGATCTAAAATATCATCAATTCTAGGAAGAGTATACTTGTTCTTGATGGTAACCTTCTTCAATTGATGGTAATCTATACACATCCTAAGGGAACCATTTTTCTTTCTCACAAATAAGACCGGAGCACCCCAAGGTGAGACACTTGGTCGAACAAAACCTTTATCTAGGAGATCTTTCAACTGCTATTTAAGCTATTTCAATTCTGTTGGTGCCATTCTATATGGAAAATTAGAAATAGGACGAGTATTTGTAAGAACATCTATACCGAAATCTATCTCTCTCTCAGGAGGGACTCCGAGTAGATCATATGGGAAAACTTCTGGAAACTCTTTTACTACTAGAACTGACTGAATATGAGGTATCTCAACACTAGAGTCATTCACTCGGACCAAGTAATAGATACAACCCTTGGAAACTAACTTTCTTTCCTTAAGGTATGAAATGAAATGACCCTTAGGCACTGCTAAACTACTTTTCCACTCTAAGACTAGCTCATTAGGAATCTGGAACTTGACAACTCGAGTTCTACAATCTATTGACGCATAACATGCATAAATCCAGTCCATACCTAGAATGACATCGAAATCTAATATATATAACTCAATTAAATCAGCCATGGTGTCTTTGTGATTGATGGAAATGACACAATCAAGATATACTCGCTCAGCTAGAATAGACTCCCCAACAGGTGTAGAAACACAAAAGGATTCATAGAGTTTCTCAAGAAGAACATCAAAACTATTTGCAACATAAGGAGTCACAAAAGATAAACTTGCTACTGGGTCTAGTAAAGCATAAACATCAAGAGTAAAGATTTTAATCATATCAGTGATAACATCTGGAGAGTTCTCTTGCTCTTGGCGACTAGTGATCGCATAAAGACGGTTAGCTCCTCCGCCAGTACCGAAAATAGCTCCTCTAGTTACAGCCATGTCTGGTGGAGCAACTGATGAAGATTGGGCTCTATTGCCCGGATTTCCACTACCCTACCTATTCTTTGGGCACTCTTTCACGAAGTGACCCTCTTGTCCACACTTGAAGAAACATGTCTGGCCATCACGACACTTACCTAGGTGAGTTCTACCACGCCTAGCACATGCAGGAACACAGTTACCTCCTTGTGCCACACTACCCTGAGACTGTGCAGGTCTAGCTCTGAAGTTCTGCGAATTCTGGCCATTATACTCACATTTATTTCTGGGTGCAGGTGCACAAGTAGATGATGGAGCAGGTCCCTTTTGCTTTGGCTGAAAGGCTAAACGGTTCACATTACTTTTCTTCTTCCCGAACTCATTCCCTATCTTAGCTTTCTTATTTCTGAATTCCTCCCTATCCCTCAGCTTCTCTTCCTCAACCTGTTGCACATATACCATTAACCTCGATACATCCATATCCCCAATTAGCATCGCTGCCCTTCCCTCTTTGCTTGATAGACAGGACAACCCAGCCACAAATAGACTCATCCTACTCCTCATATCCGCAACCATCTCCGGAGCATAACGGGACAGTTGGGTGAATTTCAACCCATACTCATGAACACTCAAACAATCCTGCTTAAGTGTGAGGAATTCTCGTACCTTAGCCACTTTCAGTTCTCGGGGGAAGAAACACCCCAATAAAGCCTCCTCAAAACATGCCCAACTCGCAGGTGGTGCATTATCAGCTCTACCCCCCTTCCACTGGTCAAACCAAGTCCTAGCCACATTCTTCAGTTCATATACAGCCAGTTCAACTCACTCAGTATCGGCAACATGCATAACATTAAATACCTTCTTCAGCTCTTCCATAAAGTTCTCTCGATCCTCAGTAATGCTCGAACACTCAGATCTTCAAAGTATCAGTCACTTCTTGTCTAGCTCCTCTCTGTTGCCCAACCTGATTAGTCACAACTTGTCTCAACATCCAGATAGCCTCACGGAACTCAGCATTGGTAACCTCTCCTTGAGGTTGCACCTCGGGTGCATTGGGTACCTATTTCTCCTCAACATTACGTCTAGCAGGACGACCTCTGACAGCTCTTCGTGAAGGTATGATTATCTAAAAACACGCGCAAGCACGAATTAGAAGGAAAATTTTTAGAGATTAAACTCTAACGTACAAAATGGGTATGAAAGAAGTGAGAATATTTCCTAAGTGTCGCAGCCTCCTAATTATAGTGTGGCGCGCTTCACACTGATAACCAGGACTCTACAGACACGGCTTCATAGACTCCCTAGGACTCTTGAACTCTGGATTCTGATACCAAGTTTGTCACACCCTGAGCCTACACCCCGGATATGGCTGGCACTCGAGAACCATTGTTGGCCCCAAACAAACCTTTGGCTTGGCTTACTTACCCAGTGGAAGACTATATGCATATTTATAATGATCAATAGCATTATACTCACTTGAATAATAAAATACTGAGATTTCTTAAAAACTCAAACATTCAACTTGGCCAAAATGGCAACTCAAGTCTTAATATATGAAATGATAATGTAAAGACTACTGATCTACTAACTGTCTATGAAGCCTCTAAAACAAAGAGGGATGTCGGGACGGGACCCTTGATCATCCTAACAACTGAAAACTAAAAAGCAAGGTAAAAAGGGGCCTTCTGGAAGCAAGGAGGCTAACCAATTGACTCTGAGTGCTGATCCTGATCAACGAGGTGCTGGATGTTGATCCTGGTTACCTACGTCTGCATCATAATACGATGCAAGCCAACTGGCATCAGTACATTGAATGTACGAGTATGCGAGTTGGACTGCTAAACATAACATAAGCTTGAAAAGATTCTGAAAGAAACACTTACCTTGGCTCTTCTCAACTCATGAATAACTCAACTCATAATAAAGCAATAAAACACATGTAATACATGAAACGCTTTATAAAATAGTAAAAGCAACTTAGTTCGTTAAAGGAATGCAGTAACAAACTCAACTTTACACATATAATAAAATAATATAGTTTCTGTGGGAGATTCTCTAACTGATAACCACCA